TGGATGGATGGATATATGAATGATGGGTGATTGGGTGAATAGATGGATGGGTAATTAGATGGTTGGGTGGATGGATGGATGAATGGATGATGGATGGATAGATGAATGATGGGTGAATGAATGAATATATGGATGATAACTGCATGGTTGGCTGCATGATGGCTGTGGCCAGTCCTAATACATGTACCCTCTGTTCTGCAGGCATGACTTGCCAAGCACGGAGCTCCTACATGGATACAGAGGTGCTCTGGGGCCACCGGTTCACGCCAGTCCTCACCTTGGAAAAGGGCTTCTATGAGGTGGACTACAACACCTTCCATGACACCTATGAGACCAACACGCCCAGCTGCTGTGCCAAGGAGCTGGCGGAAATGAAGCAGGAAGGCCGGCTCTTCCCGTGCCTCCCCAGCACCCCCCTGCCGGGAAGCTGTGCGAAAGCAGAGCTGGATGCTGAGGCTGAGCAGGATGGAGAGGACCAGCCAGAGGGGCTGAATGGGTCCCGGGAGACCAGGGGCTTGGTGTAAGGGCTGCCCTCTCCCCGCAGCCTCCCTCACTGGCTTCTATGAGCTCAGATGCTGCAGCGCCAGGGCTGGGGTGGGGTGGACTCGCTGAGTGCCATGTTTGGGGGACTCTGTGGGGAGGAGTAGTATATCCAGCCTCAGACCCTCCCAGCTCAGGGCCTCTCCAAACAGGTGGCCTGCTGCCTGGGCCCCCGAGGCAACGCTGCCTCTTCTCTCCCAGCCTCTGTGGGCGCTGGCTAAGGACCAGGCCAGGGCAGGATTCCCCACAATGAAAGTTTCAGCGTGGCCTCTGCCCTCACACACCTCTATCAGCTGGCCCGGAGTCACCTCCCTCCTCGGGTCTCACAGACCCACCGGCAGCCCCCCGCTAGGGTGGACACCTAGAGAGGGCAGTCACTCCCATCCCCTCATTCCTACCAGCCCAAGGCTCGTCGTGGATTCAGGGAGGAGAGGTTCTGCTCTCTTAGAGGCTCAAACACCCATCCTAGATGGGGACACCTAGAGAGGGCAGTCACTCCCATCCCCTCATTTCTACCAGCCCAAGGCTCGTCGTGGATTCAAGGAGGAGAGATTCTGCCCTCTTAGAGGATGGTAGGTCACAGACTTCATGCATCAGGGTGGGTCCAAGTCATGCAGGGACTGCCTTGCTGATCTGAGACCCGTAACCACTATTGCGCGCTACAGAGAACAGGGCCTTGATGGTGTCTCGTGATCCGTGAAGGGTGTGTGTTTCCTCCGCTGAGCTCTGCGCGTCCAAGGCCGCCTGCTGGATCGGTCACCTCCTTAGCGTGACTCTCAGAGGGTGGCCTGGGCCACAGAGCTCCTCTGAGCACCTGGACAGTGGCTCGGCTTCCTCGCGGCCACCCCCAATCACACTGTGGCCTGCACCTCCCATCAAAGGGAGAATCCAGATGCCCAAGAATCTCAAAGTACTTCTGCCCTTCACTGTGGTTTTCTTTCACCTCTCAGAGAGCCTGTGGCAGCTCCAGGGAGAAAGGAAGCCGGGGTTCAGAGGGCCAGATGAGCCCGTCGGGGTCCAACAGGGGTTGGGGAGAGGGGGGAGAGGGGAGAGGGAAGGACAGCAGAGAGAAGAGCAAGCAAGCAGCATTTTTAAGTAAAAGCATCAGCACCGATCGTTGACTGAGGTGTCTGACTTCAGGGCTCAGCACATCTTTGTTAACCAGTGAATTAGGGGGTGGGAGGCAAAAACGAGAGGTGACTGCAGGGGCAGCTGCACCTTCAAGCCCAGGAGGGACCCACTCTCAGTTGCTGGTGCCAAGAACCCCCGGTCCTGCCCTCCAGGGGGCAGGGTTCGAAGAAGGCAGCAGGGCGGGGCGGGGGGAGCAGGGATGGTGCCCAGGGAAGGGGGAGGGGAGGGCTGTCTCCTCCCATCTTGCAAACATGGGGTGAGGGGCATCAGTGGGAGAAGGAGCGGGTGAACATTAGAGAGAAAAGAGCAGGGATGAGCCTTGAAACCGACAGCTTTCGAGGGTTTCTCTTCTCCGGTAGGGATGGCTCAGACAGAGGACAGGCGGGTGGATGGACAGACCGACAGTGCAGATGGTCATGTCAATGGATGGAGCACATCATTGTGTTGAGGCAGACAGACTTCTGATTCGCTGACCTAGACCTGGAGAGAGATTTCAAAGGGCCCCCAGCCTTAGAGTTATGGAGGCCACACCCACAGTCTTCACAGCTCTCGACTGGCCTTTGGAAATAGAAGCATAATCCAGCACCAAACGTGAAGCCCCCTCCCCGGGAGTCAGAGTGAAGCTGCCCGCGGCCGAAAGTTGAGGCCCGGCCCAGCAAAGAGAACTGTGTTTGGTCCTGGGGCAGGTGAGGGCGGAGGCAGGCAGGCAGCCTGAGATGGGGACTGGTGCTCCTGGCTGCCACCCTCAGGGCAGCAGGGCCCTGTGCTTGGGCACACAGAGGGGGTCTTCCCCAGGGGCATGGCGCTGAGCCAGGGTTCCAGGTACCCTTCTTGGGGAAGCAGGTGTTGGGATGGGCTGGAACCTGCCCTAGGGGGTGGAAGCAGGCAGCCTGCAGCCCCAGCGGGAACAGGCATGCAGTTAGGAATCGAAGCAGAAGCCCATTCCTAAGATTGGAGGCCCTGAGTGAGGGGAGCTGCGGCAGGAACTCACCCCAGGCCCACCAGGGCCAGCGCTTACACAGCAGGACGGTTGCCCGCAGCCAGACCGCCCACCCGCCTTCATCACCCCGCCCAGTGCCTGCAGTGAGGCAGCAAAGCAAGGACCGGAAACGACAGAGAAAGGAACCTTGTCGCTGGCCTGGGCCTGGGCCTGGTTCCCACCTGCCTCTCAGTGTGTGACTCTCCACCTCTCCACCTGGCCAAGGAGATGCCTCCAGGTGTCCGTCTCTGCAGGGGCCTCCAGGGACCCAGACCACGGCTCTCTGCCAAGCACAGGAGCCGCAGAGGGTCCAGGAGAGGAAGGGATCAACTGGATCCTATTCCCAAGCTCCCTGCCGGGCCGGAGCCCGCCTGTGCTGGGCTTAGTCACACGTTCATCCAAGTGGGCCCGTTAGCTGCTTCCTCTCCTAGAGACACACATGCAGGCTTGCCGTTCATACCCCTGGGAGATCCTTCCTCGTGGCCAGTTGCTCCAACTGAAGCTTGACAAGTTCTCCAGATGGTTTTAGGAAGCTCTCGTGCAGACACGGACTAGGTACTAAATGTGGTCGGACGGCCAGGGCCCCAGGGATTCACTTTAAAGCACGTGCCTGCACACCAGCCACTGGGGGTCGCGGCCCCGCATTGCATGGCTCGGGGTCCACCCATCACTTCTGCCGGGCCACAGAGAGGTGGGCCAGGCTGTGAGGTGGGGCCACGGTAATTCCCACAGGCCTCAACATCTCCCAAATCCCAAGCGTTAGGTCCCTGGTCAGACCCTGAGAGCACTGGGACCCCAACATCCTTGTCCCTCCTCTCTGAGAACAAACATCCCCCGTGAGGGGAAGGCCCCGGGGACCTCAGAAGAAGGTAAGTGTCCCCTAGTCCTCTCCCATCCACCTCACACCTGACAGGTGTTGACACCACTACCGAAGGGACCCTGTTCCCGGGCCAGGGGGGGTGGGCATTGCCCAGGATTCCGACGCCGTCCTGGCTGGGCGGTCAGAGCCCACCTCTGTCATTGCCTTCTGCTGCTTTGAGACCATAGCCTCAGCATTGACCTTGATGGAGGAGAAAGAGCCCTGGTCAGTCTGGGGTTGAACCCTCCCTGCCCATGATCTGTGAAAACTGGGCACCTTCTTGCACATGACTTACCCCATGCCTTGCTTCCCAGCAGGCCTTGCGTCTCTTGGGAATTGGGAGCCATAGAAACTTGATTCTTTTTTTTTTTTTTGTATTGACATTGTCCCAAACAAAAACAGCTGGCCTGCGGTCTTTCAGGAACATGCCCTGAATCAAACACCTCTGCCCATGCACCATTCCCGAGCGCTGCTATGTGCCCAGCCGTGGGCGGGGCACTTCACCTGGGTGATTGCATTTAAATCTCAAAACACTGCAGAGAGGCCCTTAGAAACCCTTGTTACCAATGAGACAGCTGAGGTTCAGAGAAGTTAATTAGTTTGCTCAAGGCCACACAGATAATGACGGGTGCCACGCGCCTCCCAAACAAACACAGATGGGCACCGTCCTGCACAGCACCCACGTCTGGGGCATCTGGCCGAGCTCGGGCAGCAGGAGTCGGACGCCCCGCCTCCCCAGATGGCCGGCTTGTGTGCTGCGCTGTGCGGGAGAGCCGCAGCCTCCATCCACCAGCAGGTCCTCCTTGGCAGGAGAACTGGGAAACGGCTGCCTCCGATTCCTAGAGCATGAATGAGCTGTGGGGAGAGATGAGATGGGGACGTCCTGCTCCGGGGAGAAGCCAGGTAAGCTCGGCTTGGCTGTTGCTAATGGCATCTCCTTAAGCTGCCTCCTAGGTCAAGTCTTTCTCCCTGGGTAGGATTTGTGAATCCTACTCACAGCAAAGGCCCCACCCCTAATACCATCACATAGGAGTCAGGGTTTCAATTTGGGGGGACACACACATTCCGCCTACAGCAAGGCATAAGCAGGTTAGTGCCTGTGGCCTGGGCCCAAGCAGGTGCAGGGCCTCTATACCAGCAGTGGGGACACTGAGGGCGGAGTTGCCTCCATGGTGTGATGTAACATAGAAACATAAGCTACAGCCAGGAGGCTCTGGGACGGCAGGCAAGAAGTGGCCCTTCAGTGGACACATTTGCTGGCCAAGCCTGGGTCGCAATGTGGGGAAGGGGATCTATACACACATCCTATATAATAGAACCCTAATATGCAAATTAACTGAACGGTGGAACGACTGACTGGTCGCTGTGACATGCACTGACCACCAGGGGGCAGACGCTCAACACAGGAGCTGCCCCCTGGTGATCAGTGAGCTCCCACAGGGGAGTGGGCCTAAGCCAGCAGGCGGACATGCCCCGAAGGGTCTCAGACTGCGAGAGGGCGCAGGCCAGGCTGAGGGACCCCACCCCTCCCACCCCTCCAAGCATGAATGTCGTGCACCGGGCCTCTAGTTTGTAATAAAAAGCAAGAACCTGAACATTCCCCTCAGCAAACCTGCCCTGGCCCAGGAGGTCCAGACTGGCCAGAGACACTCCCTGGGTGTCCCTGTGGGCCCTGCGAGATGCCAGCCAGAAAGTGTGTTCACTCCTTTACCGCAAATAAATGTCTAGGAAGGAGTTTCAGAGACAGAAATCCTGTTGAGGTTTTCCAAGGGGACTGCTTACCTTTCCTCAGAGCTGCTACGAAAGCAACCTGGCCTCCCATAGTGGAGGCACAAAGCCTACACCACCGAGGAGGGTTCGGTGAGAGTGGGCACATCAGCCTACGCACTGAGCCTCACTCCTGCGTGGACAAGTCGAGGGCGGAAGGGGTGAGCTTGCTGGAAGTAAGGAAGTAGTGACAGGTACATGCAGTTAGGATCCCTCGATGTGCAGACACAGACTGTCATTGTCACAGTCCACGTTGCCTCTTAGATAAACGCGCTGGTGGAGGAGGCTGCCGTCAGCCGTGTCATGGGAACCTCACAGCAGGAGCCTGTTCTCCGTGAACCTGAGGAAGCCATCGGCGGGTCATTGGGGAATTCACCACCATCTGTCCACTCGCTGAAGGACAGCCCAGCTGGGTCCGCTCCACGGAGCAGATGGGCAAGAGGGAAGTGCTTGCTGAACGCAGACTGCACCCTGAGTGTGGAAACGTGGCTGCCTGCTGCCCTGTTCTTCCCACTCAGGGCCCTCCGTCCTCTTCCCAGTGAGCACCAGGGTGGGATTCTGCCCAGGGGACATGCCCATGTTCAGGGGTCCTCAGGCCGGTCATGTGAAAAGAGAGACTCCTGCAAGGGGTCCGCTCTTGTCCTCCAGAATCCCAGTGGGACCACAGCAGCAGGAGAACCTGGCCGTCAGTCCCACCGCCGTCCACCTGTCATTCCCTCCTCCAGGCCCGCTGGACCCTGGGGAGGGATCCTGACAGCGGCTCACTGTGTCGGAAAGCCCAGGCCGACTCCGCACAGTGTCCAAAGCGTCTGGGACTCTGCAGGGCCTCGGTTTCCCTACACACTCCTTCACCGGACCACCGCTTGGTGAGCGCCTCCTATGGGCTGGAAGCAGGAACGGGCGCCAGGGACTCAGCCACGATCCAGACAGATATTCTCTCTCCAGTGGAAGTTACAGTCAGGTGGGGAGTGAGAAGAGGTGGGAAAGGACACAGACAATGAGAGGGTGAGAGTTTGCAGCAGGGATGGGAAGGAAACAAGAGGGCATGGAGGTCAAGGGCAGCAAGAGCACCAAGGAGGGACTGTCCCTCCTAGGAAGGGCCTCGAGCTGAGGCGTGAACTATGAGCAGGAAAGAACTGATCAGGCAAAGTGGCGGGAGTGATCAATCCTGTGCAGGGGAACTGCGAGTTATAAATGCTCTGAGCTGGAAGGAGGGGGAGGAAAAGGCTGGAGAGGCAGCAGTGCTGGGGGTGGGGAAGCGAGGGGTTCAGGCCCTGCCTGCCTGGGAGATACGGTGAGTGTGGACTCTGTTCCCAGTACAGTGGGAAGCAGTAGAAAGGATTTTATGGGAGCCGTGACCCTATGCCTTTCTACGGCGACAGGGTGTGGGCTCAGAGGCATGGCCTTTCGGTCCCCAGGGGCCACGGGTCATCACTGGGACTCTGTCTGAGCCGCTCAGTCTGGCTGCACTCAACCTTGGCCTCCAAGACTGA